ATGCACCCCTTACATCCGAGCCGAAAGTTGTAACAACTAATGTATATGTAACACCAGCCTCTAAATAAGCTATCAGTCTGAACTGATTACTAGTAGAATAGTCATCATTTTGTGTTAGCAAGTTCAGATTTTGATTCGATGGATTAAATTGACCGGTGTACAGATAGCCAAAAGTGTCCATATCACTTATACTAGTGAAACTGTAACTGCCTGTGATGTAAACGATGACTTCTATCGCTTCATAGTATTTGTTTTGGTTCGAGTAGCGTTCGCTACTAAATGTTAAAGCACTTGAATAATTAGAGATAACCGAATTTTCTGGAAATCCTGTTGTTTCCCAATCTGGATATTGTGTCATCTCTGGATATGTTGTTGTTGTTCCTGGATATGTAGTTGTTGTTGCTATTCCTGGATATGTTGTTGTTGTTCCTGGATATGTTGTTGTTGTTCCTGGATATGTTGTTGTTCCTGGATATGTGGTTGTTGTTCCTGGATATGTGGTTGTTGTTCCTGGATATGTTGTTGTTGTTCCTGGATATGTTGACGTCGATGCTAACAACAATAGGCAATCGTTTTATCTACGTAAAAACTGTATTTCCTCCCTAATACACCGATTTTTGTGTCTATGTCAAGGGGAAAAAACTGATTTCTTGATTTCTTGATTTCTAGTCAGTTCTAGTGATTTCCAGTGATTTCTAGTGATTTCCAGTGATTTCTGATATGAGAAATCAACCTTTTTCTTGCTATTTCTGATACTAAAAATCACTAAAAATCATTGGAAACCACTAGAAACCACTAGAAATCATTGGAAATCACTAGAAATCAAGAATGACAAACTAAGGTTCGCGCAAGACGAACTTCAAGTGAAATTATGAATTTACGTCTTTCACACATCATCTGCTACAGAATTTTACGCTGATCACGAATATATGCTTTTCAAGTTATTTCAAAGCTTCCTTCAGTTCAAAAAATCAAAAAAAAAATTCAGGTTTTCAAAAAACTTGTTTTTCCCATGGTTTTTGTAAAATTGAATTTGTGGACTTTAGAATCTACTTAGATATTCGAAAAGGACACACTCTTGTTCAGCTTTAAAAACTGAATCAGAAAATATCTTTAAAATTTGTTTTTGATCTAAACAGTTGCCCGTGAAGGTCTCTAAAAGCAAAATTTTCAAAGCCCAAAAATTATTTTTTTAAAACCTTTCAAAATCTTTTTCTGATGTGCTTGAATTGATATCTTTGCATAGTTCGATTCGTCAGACTATCCTCTTCAAAATTATACGAGTAGTTTTTCGAAATTGCTTTGCTTCGTGGAAACAATTGAGTTTCACCTAAAACTATACGAAAACCTAATAATCCGTTTTCAGGATTTTTGGAAGTTTCGCCAATAATACAATGGAGAACATCTAGTAGGTTAAAAACGGTGGGGAATTCGATGGAGACACTACGGAAATCTCCAGGTGATTTCTAGAGAGTTTTTGAAGGGTTCTCGTGGATTTTCACTCATCTACATGGGAGGAATGGCTCATGAGTGTATTTTTTTAAGTGAGGTGTGCTATTCATAAGAAAATTAGAATTTTTTCTGATTTTCTTCTCTGTATGAATGCTGCCACAACTAAATGAATATTTAAGTGGTTTTGGTGTCGCTGTGGCTGTGATTGTTAGCATAGATATAGACTTTTTGAACCTACAACCATACCCAAGCCCACAAACGCGCACACCCACACCCTTGAGAATAGCAAACCTCACCTAAAAAGCTCACCCATGAATCATTTCTCCCATGTAGATACGTAAAAATCCCTTCAAAATCCCTTTAGAAACCACCTGGAGATTTCCGTTGTGTCTCCATCAAATTCCGCATCGTTTATAACCTACTTGGTGTTGTCTCCATTGTATTATTGGCGAAACTTCCAAAAATCCTGAAAACGGTTTTTAGGTTTTCGCATAGTTATAGGTAAAATTCACTTTTCTCCAGGAAGGAAAACAATTTTGAAAAACTGCTCGTACACTTTTAAAGAGGAGCTTCTGGCAAATCGAACCATACAAAAAAAATCGATTCTAGCACATCAGAAAAAGTTTTTGAAAGGTTTTAAAAAAATAATTTTTTGGGCTTTGAAAATTGTGCTTTTAGAGACCTTCACGGGCAACTGTTTAGGTCAAAAAC